TATATATATATATATATATTTTTTTTTTTTAAAAGAAGTTGGTTCATTCTATATGCAGAAACATAATGTTTAAAAAAAATATATAATAACTGCCCAGCCGGCGTGGCTTAGTGGTTGACCTGTGAACCAGGAGGTCACGGTTCTATTCCCAATCAGGGCACAGGCCCGATTGCAGGCTCAATCCCCAGTGTGGGCGTGCATGATTCTCTCTCATCATTGATGTTTCTATCCCTCTTCCTTCCTCTCTGAAATCACTAAAAGTATATTAAAAAAATATATACATATAAGAACTATGAAGGTCAGAAATGTGGGGGAATGCATTCTTAGCACATCTTTGGGTCACTGAATTATATTACTGTGGTTTTTTTAAATCATGATATTCTAAGACATTAAGGGAAAACTTGTGTTTCATTTCAATACTTTGTTAAACTCCCAAATCCTAAAATAATAGATCCAAAGTTCTTTCCTACCCTCTCTCCTAGGCCCTTTTCTACCCTAGTACAGCTCTTAGAACAAATTTTTATCTGTTCATGTTCTACCATGTCATTATATTTATAAGAGTCTAGGCTTGAAGATCTCACTTTAAGTATCTTACTAATCTCAGGAAAAACTAGGCTGTTATATGTCATTTTGCTGTGACTTCACAAAATTAAAAAGGGAGAATTTATATGCAGGAGACATTAAATAGCCAGTACAGACCGGTGTGGAAACATTAAAGAGTCCTGATCTGTAAAGTCTACTTAAGGAGTTGATGACAGTGAAGAATGGTTCCCGGATGGCTGGAGAAATTTATTTAGGAATAAGACTATTCACTTGTGCAGGATTTTTAAAAAAATCTTATATCTAAATAGGGCATAACGTATACCAATATGTTACTGTAATGTACAAGAGTGTGTACAGTAAAACGTAAGTCCTTTCTATCCTTATTTTCCTCATCATGCATTCCTTTCCCCAGAGGCAGCCACTGTTGTTTTCTTATATGTCCTTCCAGAGATTTCAAACATTTATATGTGTGTTGTGTGTGTGTGTATTTATATTTTGTTATGTAGATGGTAGTATACCATGAACATTATCGTGTACTTAAAAATTAAATCTTTTTATTTATTTTTATTTATATATATTTTTAATTGATTTCAGAGAGGAAGGGAGAGGGAGAGAGAGACAGAAACATCAGTGATGAGAGAGAATCATGGATCAACTGCCTCCTGCATACCCCCACTAAGGATCCAGCGCACAACCTAGGCATGTGCCCTTACCGGAATCGAACCCGGGGCCCTTCCACAGGCTGACACTCTGTCTACTGAGCCAAACCAGCCAGGGCTGAGCTATCTCATTTTTAATTAATAGTGGCATAATGTATCATATGGATATACCATAATTTATTTAAGCATCCCCGTGGCATTTCAGTCTGCTTTTATTAGCAATGCTATAATAAATACCTTTGTACATCCTTTATTTCATAGCTATGCGGGCATGTATGTTGGCGTAGTACTTCGAAGTGGAATTGTTGGGCTAGAGCAGTGGCCGGCAAATTGCAGCTCGTGAGCCACATGCGGCTCTTTGGCCCCTTGAGTGTGGCTCTTCCACAAAATACCGAATTCTGCACATGGGCCACGAAGTTTCAATCGCACTGTACATGTGTGCCTGCACATGGTATTTTGTGGAAGAGCCACACTCAAGGGGCCAAAGAGCCGCATGTGGCTCGCGAGCCGCAGTTTGCCAACCACTGGGCTAGAGGATATATACATTTACACATTTAAAAATATTTTTAGTCCTAACTGGTTTGGCTCAGTGGATGGAGTGTCAGCCTGCGGACTGAAGGGGCCCAGGTTCGATTCCGGTCAAGGGCATGTACCAGTACCTTGGTTGCAGGCACATCCCCAGTAGGGGGGTGTGCAGGAGGCAGCTGATGATGTTTCTCTCTCATCGATGTTTCTAACTCTCTATCCCTCTCCCTTCCTCTCTGTGAAAAATCAATAAAATATATTTTTTAAAAAAGACAATGAAAGTCTTCAGGTTTTAAATTCTTAAAAAAAATTTTTTTTTTATTTGGGAATAATTTTAATTTAGAGAATAGCTGCAAGAGTAGTACAGAGAACATCCATATACTCTCTACTCGTATTCACCTGTTGTGTGTACGTGTGTGTTTACTTTTTCTAAGATTAAGTGGTCTTCATCATGGAATAGGTAATGGGCTGTAAACCGTGAAGACATCGGCCGTAGAGCAGGCCGAGCAGGGCCCTGGGCATCCTGGGGCCCCACTGCGGTGGGCAAAGCTGGCCTTGCTCACTCTCCCTTCGGGCCTCTCTCCCCTAACCCGTCTGTGGTGACTGGGGCCAGGCAGGTGGTGACAGCTGGGCGTGGGGCCTCAGTGCCCGGCGTGGCAGCCTGTTGCTGGCCGAGGACTCTGCTCATGACACGTTCTTGCTGATGCTGAGCCAGGTGGGCTCAGGGCTCATGTCCCAGAGGTAAAGAACCATCATGTATATTTAAGTGTGTATTTCCTAAGAAGAAGGATTTTCTCTTATGTAACCACAGCACAGTTACCAACTTCAGGAAATTTAACATTGGTGGAATACTTTTGTCTGATCTGTCCACATTTTCAGTTTTGCCCAGTAATGTCCTTTCTAGCATCTTGCCCCCTCCTGCTCGGGACCCAGTCTGGGTACACTTCAAGTTTTGATATTGCCCTGCCGACTTGGCTCAGTGGATAGAGCGTCAGCCTGTGGATTGAAGGGTCCCACGTTCGATTCCGGCCAAGGGCACAGCCTGGGTTGCAGGCTTGATCCCCAGTGTGGGGTGTGCAGGAGGCAGCCAATCAATGATTCTCTCCATCATTGATGTTTCTATCTCTCTCTCCTCCCTTCCTCTCTGAAATCAATAAAGAAATATATTTAAAAAAAGGGGGGGGTGGGGCCACATGCTAACCTACCTGACCTTCTCTGGGGAGGCCTGTGTGGAGGCCTGGCCTGGCCTTGCAAACTCAGACACCTAAAGTGACCACCCTGGATGTTCTGAAATTAAAAAAAAAAAGTTTTGATATGTATTGCCAAATTGCTCTATATAGGCATTGCCTCAATTTACATTTCTGCCAGCAATACCTGAGTCCTGGTTTCCCCACATTCTCACCTACGTCCTCTGTTATCGACTGGAAGTTGCCAGAGCTCAAACAGTCTTTTGCAAGGATAACCTTTGCCTCTGTCAGACGGAAGGTGGGATCGTTTGGGACATGTGTCAGCAGTTGCTCCCTGGCTTGAGGGATTTCAGCTTCTCTCTCAAGCTGAGGTTCCGGGCGTGCTCAGGAGATGCTCTTGGCAGAGCGGGCTGCTCATTTTGTCTTCCTTGCTGACCCAGCTCTTTCGGAGGACTGACAGGGCTCTGCTCTGTCCCCTTTTAAGGCTGAATAGTAACCCTTTGTACGTATAGCCCACACTTTATCTTTTAGTCCAGAGGTACTTGGGTTGCTTATTTGGATGTTTTTGTCCTTTTTTACTGTTTTCATATTTAAGCTTTTACATGTAATGTTTTACTTTCCAGGTACCGCTTAAATTTGAATCAAGATGAAGTAAAACAAGAAGTAGAAGAGTATCTTCCTTCATTGTCTAAGTGGGCTGGAGATTTCATGCAGAAATACACTTCAACTGACTTCCCGCAGATGCAGCTCTCTTTGTAAGAAACCCATTTTGATTACCTGGTTCATATGTTTAGACCAGGATTCTGTTCTGTATTTTGAATTAAAGCTTTTTAAAGATTGAGTTAATGCAACTAGCCTTTTTGTTTGCTTATTTTACAAATTACTGTCCTGAGTATCTTTTCCACACTGGCCAGGGCTCTTATACTTTTTAAATACCAATTTTATATGATATAAAATGCTTTATTACTAGAAGATGTATCCTTTTCATGTAAGATTTCTGTTAGACCTAGTTTTTTATAAGGCTTTGAGTCTAAAATAGGATTAATAAAAGTTAGCCCTTATCTGAATATTCTTCTGCAGAATGACTTACTGCTCTAAAGATAAGTAAATCTTAGATAAGAGAAATGTAAAAGGCTTTAAAAGTTATTTTCGTCTCTCCAGGACTGTCACAGGGGTGTAAGTGTTGGATGATCAAACTCGTCCTTACCCAAGTTAATATGGTGTTACATGAAGGAACACATCCGTTGCTAGGGTGCAACCACATGCAAGCAATTATATATCAATCTGTGTAATAATTATATATCAGAATATTCAGATTGGAATTGTGGCTCCAGCAGTTCAAGTAGCGAGACTTGCAGTAATCTAGGCCTGAGGACGTAAAGGCCTGAGTTGGGAAGATCGCAATAGCAGTGAACTGAAAGGGACAGATGACAAATACAAGAAAATGTATATACATGAGTTGGAGCCTATAGGACAATGGTTCCTAAACTTGAGTGTGCATCAGAATTACTTGGAGAGTTTGTTAAACAAATTGCTGGGCCTCACCCATTAATATTTCTGATTGAGTAGGCCTGGAGTGGGGCTTGAGAATTTGCATTGATCACAAGTTCCCAGATGATGCCAGTGCTATACACTTTGAGAACCACTGCTGTAAAGGTATATAGACCCTTTTCCATCCCCACATTCGCTGAGTGCAGTGAAAAGTCAATGGTAGCAGATGAGAAGTGAGCTAAGTGTTCTAATTAAGTGTTTTTGTGTTTTGTTTTTAGGCCAAGTGATGGTAGTAACAATAATGCAACATGTAATATTGAAGTCATAAAGTCATTGGATATTGAAGAAAGCATTTGGTCCCCTAGGTTTGGATTAAAGGGCAAGATAGATGTTACAGTTGGTGTGAAAATTCACCGAGGATGTAAAACAAAATATAAAATAATGCCACTGGAACTTAAAACTGGCAAAGAATCAAATTCTATTGAACACCGTAGTCAGGTATATAAATCTTAATGAGAAAATTGAATGTTTAATAGATTTAAAAATGTAGTCTGCTTTATATATTTTGGTTCAATTTAGGTAATGTTTGAGTTTCATATAGTACTTTTCAATTTGTGATACATTCAGAGTACTCAAATTGTCTTATACATAGACCAAGGCCCGGTCCACAGATTTGTGCACATTGAAAGGAAGTTAATTAGAAGGTGGCTGGCGGGGTGGGACTGGGCGAGAAGGGCCGGACATGCCCTGGAGCCAACCTCCTGCAGTCCCTCTCTGGCCGGCCACACCCGGGGCAGCGCCGGGGCTCGAAGGGCGTCTGCAGAGTGAGCGAGGTCCCTCGGGCAGGTGGGGTCCCTCGGCCTGGCTTGCGGAGATCGGGCCAAAACCAGCAGTCCCACATCCCCTGAGGGGTCCCCAAGTGCGAGAAGGCACTCTGCAAAGTTGCTGTCGCTCCTGCGTTGAGCGTCTGCTCCCTGGTGGCCAGTCACTTAACCTTTTATATACATAGATATACATGGCTACAGCAGAAAGTTTTCTCTAGCAAAGAATACATCTGAACTTGTCAGATAATATTGGCAAGTGTATGTTGCCAAACTAACAGTCTAAACAGATGCTCCTAAAAAAAGAATTCCTGGGTCATGTAAGTTGGGGAAACCGAGTATATTTGTAGATATGATGATGCACATTAGCCTATTAAAGTTTCTGAGAAGTCTTAATGTGATTTGTGTCAGCTATGTTTAACCTAATATTTCCTAAACCTAATTTACCATGGAGCTATTGTTTTCATGTGACATCTACACAGGATACTCTTTAGAAAACATCAGTGTAACCTGGCTGGCATGGCACAATGATTGAGCATCGACCTATGAACCAGGAGGTCTGGGTTCAATTCCTGGTCAGGGCACATGCCCGGGATGCAGGCTTGATCCCCAGTGTGGGGTGTGCAGGAGGCAGCCGATCAGTGATTCTCTCTCATCATTGATGTTTCTGTCTCTCTTTCCCTCTCCCTTCCTCTCTGAAATCAATGTAATTTTCAAAATGAAAATAGCTTAATTGACCTTTTGATTTTAAAATTATAGTATGTGTTGATTGCAAACCACATATGGAAAAGCAGAAAGTTAAGGTTTTATTTGACAAAATGTACACTGTTTTCACAGCTGGTTCTGTATACACTGCTCAGTCAAGAGAGAAGAGCTGACCCGGAGGCTGGCCTGCTCCTCTACCTCAAGACCGGCCAGATGTACCCCGTGCCTGCCAGACATCTTGATAAAAGAGGTTGAGCTGTTTCCTCCATTTTTACTTCTCTGGGTTTTGTTTGTTTTCCCCTTCAACTGTTAGTGATACATACAGCATACCTGTGGGTACTGTCCAGATCACCTCAGTAAAGCGAGTAACACGAATTGTTTGGTTTTTAGTGCATATAAAGGTTATGTTTACATGATCCTGTAGTCTCTTAAGTGTGCAGTAGCATTGTGTCTAATAAAACAGCACATATACCGTAATTAAAAAATACTTTATTACTAAGAAATGCTAGACATCATGCAAGTCATAATCTTTTTGCTGGTGTCGGGTATCTTCAATTTGTAAAAAACACACAAAATCTGTGAAGTGCAATAAAGCAAAGCACAATGAGACAAGGTGTACCTGTGTTTAACCTGACAGTAGCTCGCTGTACTTGCTAGGCCTAATACAGGTTTTAATTTGTAGTTATGGTGTTTTTTAAAAAGAATTTTAACAATACACAGTAGAGTTGAAAATACTAACTTTTAAAAATTTTATCATATAAAACTTTATTTTAAATTTTCTACCCTACACTCTAGATAGTTGTATTTATCCTTAGCATTCAGCGAATAAAGCACCAACTTCACAATTTGTACTAATTATGAGATACATGATTGTTGAAGAATTTACCAAGTGAACAAAAATTGGAGGAATTATACCAAAGTGTTAACAGTGGTTATTCTAGTGTAGTGGGGAAAATGAATGTTGTTCTTTACTTTTTTAAATGTTTTAAAATCTGAAGTTTTATTTATGCAATGGAAAAGGTATATAATAAACTTAATTCTTAAAAGACACCTGTCCTCCCCCCCCCATAGAATTTATTTATTTATTTATTTATTTTTCTTTTTTCTTCCTCCCTCCATGGAATTATTAAAACTAAGAAACCAGATGGCATTCTCTTTGTCTCACCGTATTAGCAAACCTGCTACTGGAAAGGAGAAGACAGAGCTTACTCCTTTGCCACAAATAATCGAGGACCAGCAAACCTGTAAATATTGTTCACAAGTGGGTAACTGTGCTCTTTATAGCAGGTAAACACACTGTCTTCCAAAAATACTAATTTCATTTAAGTATGCACTCAACTTAAAATGATTTAACATTGCTGGCTGGTCTGGCACTGATGATTTCATTTTAGCCATTTTTTTCTGTGTGTATTTGTAAAATGAAGGGACTAGGAAAAAAACATACAGTTCAATCCTCACTCAAGGATATTTTTTCCCCACTCAAGGATATTTTTTCCTCACTCAAGGATATATTTCCATTGATTTTTAGAGAGAGTGGAAGGGAGAGGAAGAGACAGAAACACCGATGTGAGAGAGATGCATCAATTGGTTGTCTCCCACATGCTGCCGACCAGGACCAAGAGCCTGCAACCGAGGTACATGCCCCTGACTGGGATCGAACCCGGGACCCTTCAGTCTGCATGCTGACACTCTATCCACTGAGCCAGACTGGCTAGGGCCACAGTTCATCTTCTATATATATAAAAGGCTAATTGCAAAGAGTCCCCTTGGGAGTTCAACTGGGATACCGGAAGTTCGATCGCTCGCTATGACATGCTCTGACCACCAGGGGGTGGCACAGAACGAAGGAAGACCCCCACTGGCAGCTGGCAGCCAGGGAAGGAAGGCCCCAGCCGGCAGCCGGAAGGCCCTGATTGGCCCTGATCGCTGGCCAGGCCTAGGGACCACCGGGCCTCTAGTATTTTATAACAAGCCTATTTCCCTGGGGAACAATAGAATGCTTTTTGAACTTTGGTTAAGAAAGGTGAGTAAGTAGCATAGACATTTTGAATACAACTTAAATGGTGTTTTAAGAAGTCTTTCGCTTCTTAGTTGCTGTTTTAATTTCAGGCCTTTTGTAGTTTAAAAAAAAACAGGGAAAATGTTTCTTCCAGACACAAAGTTTGGTATGATCCAGTGGCCTTGAATTTTATGTCTATTTTATTACATGTGGGAAGTTTTTAGCTCTTATAAACAGTCAATTGTATTTATACCTTCATAGGCCAGCAAAAGGACACAAAAAAGTAGTTAGATGTAAATACAGACTAGACAAGATCAAATCGGAACCCAAATTCTAATTCAGCCTGAAAATTCACAGAAAGAACTTTTAAAACTATTGTATCAAAGGATCTCTTAATGGGAGAAGACTGTGACCATGGGAAGTTGGGGCCTTTACTATAAGCACATTGTTGTGAAATCTTGTGTTTTATTCTCAATGTTTTGTAGGCTACCCTATGAGATATTTGTTTCTATATAAAAATTTAGAAATTAGCATTAAGCAAAATGAAATTCCAGATAATTCTCCTAGTTTTTATGTTGACTTTCCTGTGGCACAGAGCTGGCTGTACAAATATTGTGACTTTGAGAAATGCAGTTGTACAAAAAGCCAAAACTTGCTACCTATAGGAATGAAGACTAGAGTATACCAAGTAGTTGTTAGGGGCACAGTCATGAAGGCAAAATAATGCCATATTGAGTTTCTTAAGCATTTTGTTTTGTAAAAAACTATTTGGCTTACAGAATATTGAAATGACTTTTAAAGAAAATTAGAGTCTGTGGTTAGAAGTTATGATGATCATCACTATATGTACTTATTTTAGAAGTATCTCATTCATAGCCAGCAGAATGTTTTATACACATGTCTGACTTGGGGCTTTATCTTTAGAGCAGTCGAACAGCAGATGGATGGCAGCTCAGTCCCGATTGGCATGCTGGCCAAAATAAAAGAGGAAACCCAGCACCTCAAGGTCACACACTTGGAGTATTTCAGCCTGTGGTGTCTAATGTTAACTTTAGAGTCAAAATCAAAGGATAATAAAAAAAATAACCAAAATATATGGTTGATGTCTTCATCAGAAATGTAAGTACTACATTTAAAACAGTCAAACTTCAATAATTTGGATTAGTGGAATGGCAGTTGGAATTCGTGACAAATACTG